AAAGGCCGGCCAAAGGGCGTCTGTTTACAGAAGAAGCAGCAGCTAGAGCTCTGAGAGGGGAAGTAACCTCTCCCAAGACACACAGCTAATAATGGCAAGGTTGTGACTTGAACCAAATCTGGCAGATGTGAGTCCTTGCTGCGTCTCTCACAAGCTGAGCGACTCCGTGTGAGTTCCCCAACCTTACCATTCTGTCGGAACAGGGATCACACTTCATGGGGTCACTGAGAGGATTGGGTGAGGATGGAAACAGCTTCTCACAGGACATGGCCTTAAGAGTGCTCACACTCACTTCAGTATAGTTGGGGACTGAAAGGCAGGCACAAAGGAGCCAGGCCAGGGCCCCCCAGCGTCTGTCTCTGACAAAGGGAAAAGCCTAGGGATTCCGGAAGCAAGCCCTGACTCTGCCAGCAATGAGTTTTGGGTTTTCCAGAGCTCTAATTATCAGCTAGATGAATCACTGGGAGCTGACACCACCATCCCCAACCCCCAGAGACTTTCCGTTGCTTCACAATATAGCATTTTAACAAAGAAGAGGAGGAGGAAGAAAAAAGAGGGGAGAAGTAATGAATAGAAACGAAAGGTGCCAGCCAGAGGAAATGAAAAACTGTCATCAGGACACCAACATGAGGAGACTGGCTGCACCGCGCGCGCACGCGCGCGCAGACACACACACACACACACACACACACACACGTCGCACGCGCGCGCTCGCTCCTGCTGCCTGCAGGCTCTCCAACTTTGGGTACACTGGCAGATGGTACTGCCATAACAAAGTGACGCCTGTCACAACAGCAGAGATGCTTGCTTGACGAGGTATAGGCAGATCTGCCTGTCACAGAAGCAGAGGAAGAAACCTTCACCCCTGAGGAGCTCCCTCATGCTTCTGTGACCCAGCATACCCTACTTACTGCTGGCTTCTGGCTTCTCCTTGTGGCCAAGCCCCAAGGCCTGGGTATGGCAAAGTTTCGAGTGCCAACCCCACACCCGGTCGGGGCCACCATTGATGTGATGTCTGGGACGCAGGACGGTGTGGTATAGTAGTTAAGATCATGGAGTTGGAGTCAGACAGACTTGAGTTCAAATCCCCACTGTGTTGTTCCCTGGCTCTTCGATCTGGAGATCTTGAGCAAGTCACCTCACCTCTCTGGGCCTGTTGGCTCCTCTGTAACATGAGGCTATGAATATATACCTCCAGGGTTGTTGTTAGGATGAAAGGAGAGGATTCTTCCGTTCCATGAAGATTTATGGTGTGCCTGCTAGGTGCAGAGCACTGAGTTAGATGGTGGGGGTCCAGGGGGACCAAACAGACTATGGCTCTGCCCTCCTCCTGCCCCTGGCACAGGCCCTAGCCGGTAGTCGGAGTCAGCAAGTGGTAGCTATTTATGACGACCATCTTGGCATTCAGCCATTAACTTCACCATGGGACCTGAGGAGAGCCCTCCCCCTTCCCTTTCACTCTGAAGAAGCTGGGCCTCAGTTTCCTCAACTGTAAAATGACAGAGTTGGATTGGACTAGTGGTTCCTGATCTTCTTGCCATCAAAGCTTCTCTTAGTATTTTCCCTCCACACGAGCCTCACATTCAGTAAGATTTTGTCTCCCATACAACCCACATCAAGTCATTTCTTCCCTTTTATTGATTATAAGCCTCGTTTTACAGACCCTAGGGCTTGTGATCAGGGGGAGCAAGCCAGAGTGACCACTACTCTGTTAGTGTAATTCCAGCCCGAAGCAGAGAGCACACCAGCTTGGTCACCCTTCACATACTATGTGCTATTTCTCTGGGTCCTTTGGGAAACATTGACAGGAGCTCAAGGGACCCCTGCTGCCCTTGGGCGGGGGGCCCTTAGGCTGGGGATGCCAGACTGGAACTCAGGGAGCTGGATGCTCTCCTTCATGTCCCATCTGGCTGAAAGCCGGGGGCGGGGGGGGGCTGCATCACTCGGATGGCCCCCGGGGAGATCTGAACTTCCAGCTGTATGCCCACCCTGGCAGTCCCCTCCTCCAAATGACAGAGACCTAACACAGTGTGTGCCTCTTCTCTCCAGGAGGGCAGGGCAAAATGGGGACCCAGCAGGCTACCTGGAGCAATCAGAATTTCTTTGTTCAAGCATACGTGTACACCAACATGGGGGGCATGCTTGAACAAAGACCATGGCAACGAGCAGCAAAACACCAAATCCAGTGGGGCAATAACATTTGGAAGTATGTTTTTCATATTTTCTTTGGTGTCCCTCCCTTCCCTTATGCAGATAGTTACGTTACTCTGCCTTTGTGACTTTGGGAAACAAATGATACAACAGAATGTAGAGCTCATTTTTAGCTTCTGAATTCCAAAAGCCTAGCCTTCAGGGAGGAATGGAAAGAATTTCTATCCACGGACAAATTTAGAAAACTGTAGCAAGGGGGATCTGGGAGACTGAGACTTGTGTGTGGGGGGGTGTCCCTGAGACTAGAACAGCTTCTCCTCAGCCTGGGAGCTGGAGGGTGTCAGCTGGGTCTCAGGGCCTGGGGAGCACCGAGAGCTGTGCTCTTTTCCTGGGGGAATGCCAGGAAGGAACAAAACCCTCCAAAGAAACAGCCGTGTGCTGCATTTGGGCAAACAGGGCCTAACTAAGCCAAGAGCCTAAGAATTTCCTGGGCCTAATAAGGCCTGGGAAAAGTAGAATAAAAATCTGAACACCGAGAGAGGTATGGGTTACTCCTGAAGGGGTCTGTGGGTCAGGGAGGAGCAACTTGGTGGCAGCCTGAGTGGGCTGACCACAAAAGGCCAGAAGGAAACGAGGACATCTCAGTGATGCTAGCATGATTGGATGAGCATCAGACCAGACCACCTTTCCCACGCTGGCCACCTTTAAGGGAAATGTGCTAGAATTCAACCAGTTCCAAGGAAAGGGAGAACTTTGAATCGGCGGCATTGAGTTTCTGCCACGCTGGCTGAATGGGGTGAAGTAGGAACTCAGCTGAGTTAGGAACCATTCAAGTTCTGCTTCTCACGCACTGGGAACTGGAACCACTATGCTCCTCACGCACAAGGCCTGGTATCATTTGCCCCAGCCCTGTCCCCTTCTCTAGCCTCACGTGCTTCTCTCTCCTCTGATGGTCTCAGTGGTCCGGTTACTGCCCCCACCCCCAGGGTGCCCGCCCCAGGACCTTTGCACTGGATGCTTATTCTGCCTTCCCTTGGCTCTTTAAACAGCAGGGTCCTTCTTGGTTTACATTTCGCTTCTTCAGACCACACTTTCCAAAATAAAACCATCTCTGTGTTCTCTCTAGAGTACCCTGTTTATTTCCTTCATGACATCTGTCAGAATTTTTACTTTTTTTAATTGTCAGTCTTCCCCTGTAGAACCTCAGCTTCCCGGGGGCAGGACCCTTGTCCATCCTGACGTTCCTTCAGCAGCTGGTATGGTGACTAGATAGCTTAGTGGAACGAATGGTGGGCAGCAGCTGGGGGAATCCGGCTCGCCATGGGCTGGTGGGCACTAAGCTCACCCCCATTCCTTCCTGGGCCCCTGGCAGCCTTTCCCAGCAATCCAGGACCAGATGCCAAAAGACCCATATCCCTGGGGCTTGCAGATTTAGGGGTTCAGCATGAGTGTGTCTCAGCCGGCCTGTTTCCCCTCCTTTGGCTCTATCCTTCCAGCGCCTCACGTAGGGATGACAGTGGGCCTGCGGGGTCTGGCGCGCGATGCTTCCGATGTTTCCGGAATGAGGACATGTGCTTGGGTCTGAGCAGTCCGTGCTAGCCTGAGGGCTCCCCTCCCCGGCCTGGGGGCTCTCCCTTGCTCTGCTGAGGCCACAGAAGTGCTGGCACACCACTTAAAAGCGCGGGATCTCTCCTCCATCTCCAGGCCAAACTCCCAGCATAAGCCCTCTTCACGTTTGGAAACATCTGCAGACATGTGGGAGACATCTGCAAAGAGGCTGCTGTGGGACTCCCCGCATTCGTCCCTCCGGACGGGGTGGCCCTCCCTGCTTACTGCAAGCACGCGGACATCCCCACGACATCCCCACAGCGAGGCCCTCCCTTCTGTGTCTGCCCTCTGGTTCCTCCGAGCGCGGCAGGTACCTTGTGGTGCCGCTCCCCTCACCTGGGGCTGTCAGAGGGGCCTGGAAACTCAGAGTTGTCGTCTCCCTGCTAGAACCCACTGTTCTCTCCTGAAGGCAGAGGTCAAGTCTCAGGGACTTCTGGGACCTCTAGGCGATGAAATAAACAGTATTCCAAAGAATCATGGTGGGTGGGTGTGTGGGTGTTAATGATGCAGATTCCTGGGTTCTGGATTCTGGTTCACATCGGGGAAGGGGGAGCCAGAAAAGTGGCTTTTCCAGACACGTCCCGGTGGGTTCTGATGAGGTGGGTCAAGGACAACACTTTGACAAAGACTGGGAGGGAAGGTGAGCGCGGTGCCTTGGGCTGCTGGTGCCCAAGTGGGCACTCAAGTCCCCCTGGAGAAGTGAAAGCATCCGAAGGTCAAAGGCCCCTGCCTTACTTGAGACTCGGGTGCGGCAGTCCTCAGGCTGGATTTCCGCTCGTGGTTCTTGACCACCTCCCCCACTAGACCGTAAGCCCCGCTCCGGAAGGGACCAAATCTAATTCGACAGTGTGTGCTCAGCAGGCCTGGCACACGGCAGCTGCTCTGTGGATGTTTGATGAGGACACAGCCGCTTTTACTGAGATGGTTGCTTGCCCGTGGCAGGGCTGGTATGGCTGCAAGGCGGCTATGACAAAGACCTGGGTTCTACCCGAGAGCCACTTCTTCCCGAGGACCCCCAAACTTCTCAGAATCGGAGCCTGATTTCTTGCTGTTGGATGAGCTCCCACACTCGAGGGGAGCACCCAGGATTACCTCAACCTCCCTACCTCAGGGAAGAGCAAGGAGACGAACAGCCTCTTCAACAGGGAATCCGAACAGAAACGCCACTTTCCATCTGGCCAGACTGAAGCACTCACCTACAATTCTCAAACTTTGCTGCTTATTAGTATCACCTGAGAAACTTTTTTTTTTTTAAAGATTTTATTTATTTATTTGAGAGAGAGAGAAGGAGCAGGGGGAGCAGCAGAGGGAGATGGAGGAGCAGCAGAGGGAGATGGAGAAGCAGGCTCCCCGCTGAGCAGGGAGCCCGACTCGAGGCTCGATCTCAGGACCGTGGGATCATGACCGAAGCCGAAGGCAGACACTTAACCAACTGAGCCACCCAGGCGACCCTCACCTGAGAAACTTAAAAAGAATCCCAGGGTCCAGGCTACACCCAATACCAATGAAATCTGAATAGCTGATGGTGGAACAGGTGATGGCAATGTGCTGCCAAGTTTAAGCACCACTGCCCTATGACGTAGGACCCACACGGAGCCCAGCACACATCAGGGAAAGCATGAGGCACGGACTTATTTGTATCCAAGTTTTCTGAGAAAGCAAACACAACTGTGAGAAACCGGAACGCTCAGGGGTGGCTCAGGCTGAGTACACACGAGAACCCTCGCTGGGAGAGGGCTGAAAACGATTTGGCAGATTCCCTAAATCAGTAAATCAGATTCCGATGTAAGTGATCAAGGCCACAGACAGGTAAGTAGGATCCCAGAGTGAGTCTAGGAGACGGGACCCTGTGAAAGGCAGCTGTGACTGGGCCGGCCCCGCTCTCTTTCCGGGCTCTGGGCAGGGAGGGGAGCAGGCGGTTGGCTCAGTAGAACTCTGGAGGAACCTGAGTGGGGACTGGAGCTGGCCGAGGGAAAGGCTCATTTATACTTTTTGGAGGGAAATTCCCGCCGGCCTTGGCCCTTGCTGCCGAAGTTGCGCACCCGGTGGATGACCTGCAGCTGCTGCTCAATGGTCGCTGTGATGTTCACATCATCCGGGATGTGGACATAGCGGACATTACGGCCCGTCACGAAGAGGTCATCCAGCTCGACCTGATGCCCCCAGCGGTCTGTGTAGGTGACGTTGGCCAGGCGGATGTTCATGAAAGCATCCACATTGTCTATGCGTCCGCGGGCCACGCTCTCATCCCGCAGGTCCACGGTGGTTACCTGGCCCTGGAGGCCCTGCAGCAGGATAATCAGGCTGTTCTCAGAGATGGTCCGCTCCTTCACCGAGTGGCTCACTGCCATTCTTCCACACTGAAGACTGCTGGCTGTGGGGGGAGAAGCACACAGATGGGAGCTGTGGCAAGCTAGGGGCTGCAACTGCCAACTCACCTCTACCAGGCTCTAGCACAGACCTCTCCAAGTCGGCCTGGCTCCCCAGTCTCTGTGTCTAAGGAACACCCTTCGGTGCCAGGGGCTTCGTGCATACGTCTCACAGAATCTTCATGCTACCAGGCAAGCGAAGAATTACTTACACTCATTTTGTAAATAAAATATGAGCGAGAGATGTGACTTGCCCAAGGTCACATAGCTGATACCTGGAGGTGCTGGGATTCAAATCTATCACTGCCTGACTCCCAACCTCACACCGCTACTTCTGAACCCTCACTGCAAGGCAGAATCACCTGGTGAGTTTTTACCGGCTGCCACCGCCCCCAGAGGGTCTGATTCATTTGGTCAGGGGTGGGGCCCGGGTATCCTATTTTTAAAAGCTCCACAAGTAATTCTGATGTGCGTCCAAGTTTGAGAACCGCTGCTCTAAAGTGTAGTTTACACCCTTGCCAGTCTGTGGACCAGCACTTTCAGCATCACCCAGGCACTGGCTAGGAATGCAGAAGCCCGGGCGCTTAGGTGGCTCAGCTGGTTAAGTCAGCCTTTGGCTCAGGTCATGATCTCAGCGTCCTGGGATCAAGTCCCAGGTCGGGCTCCTTGCTCAGCCGGGAGCCTGCTTCTCCCTCTCCCTCTGTCCCTCCCGCTGCTTGTGCTCTCTCTCGCTCTCAAATAAAAAATAAATAAAATCTTAAAAAAAAAAAGAAAAAGAGAATGCAGAATCTCTGGTCTCTCCCCAGACTGACTGAAAGAATCTGCACTTTATCACGACCCCTGTATCAATCACCAGTAGTTCTCAAATGTTAGTGTGTATCGGAGTCACCTGAGGACATGTTAAATTGCAGAATGCTGGGCTCCCCTCTCAGTTTCAAACTTACTAGGTCTGGGGTGGTGCCCAGTAATGTAATTTCTAACATGTTTTCAGTTAACACTGATATTGCTGGTCTGGGGCCCATGCTCCCGGAGTGACTGGTCTACACCATGCAGCCACCATGGAAGTAGAAATTTTGGTAAATTGGAAAAAAACAAAAACAAAAAACCGCAACATGGCAGCCTATAAAACAGATAGGTTTTGAAGGCAGAGAAAAATAGGTTGGAATCCTCACTCCACCCACAAACTGTAAACCTAGGACAGTTACTTAATGTCTCTGAACCTGTTTCCACATCTATTAAACCAGAGGCTAAACGAGGCTAACAGAATCTGCCCACACGGAATGTACTTTGCTTTCATCACGTCTTGATGCTGTATTAATGTAACTCTCTTATCTAGCCCCTCTTTTCACACTCTCAGTGGAAGGTGGTGGAACTTTCCCCCCTAAGACCTCACTCAGCCCCTACCCGGGCTGTGCAGGCTGGCATTCAGTGTAGCAAGCCGGACCACACCACCGATGGGGGCGTCGGGCCGGAGGAGTGTAAGGACCCCACCCAGACTTCACCAGAATGCGCCCCGAGGATCAGGGCTGCCCGGAGGGACTGCAAAGGAGCAGTCCCGGGCTCTAGGACGGGCTCTGCCACTTCCCAGGAGAGCGACCTCGAGCAAGCCGCTTAGCTTCTTCAAGCCTGTTAGCCCAGCGGGAAAATGGGGATGGTGACGACCCTTTACTCACGGAGCAGTGGGGGTGGGCGTGGGGAGACGGGCTCTACTCGCAAATCGGGAAGGAAGCGCTTCCCCCGCTCCCCGCGGCTCTCCGGGGTTCCGGGCGCCCCCGCGCTCCGCCCCAGGCTCTGGGACCCACCGCACCGGATTCCTTCCGCTTCCCGGTCCACCCCGCCGCCGAAGCTAGCGGGCGCCTGGCGGGGCGGCCTCCCTCCCGCGGCGGGACCAAGAAGCCATGGCAACAGCTGGGCCACTCTGTCCTCCCCGACCATAGAGAGCGCGGCCGACGCAGGCCCGCGCCACCGCAGACGCGCCCGGAACTACAACCCCCAGAATGCCTCGCGGGCCGCGGGCCGCGGGCCGCGGGCTCGCGCTCGCACTCCGGCGACTCCGGGCCTGCGTCGCGGGGTGTCTCTTTCACTAGAGTCGTTCATTTTTTTTTTTTTTTAACTTTTTTTTTTTTTAAAGATTTTATTTATTTGAGAGAGAGAATGAGATAGAGAGAGAGCATGAGAGGGAGGAGGGTCAGAGGGAGAAGCAGACTTCCCGCTGAGCGGGGAGCCCGATGCGGGACTCGATCCTGGGACTCCAGGATCATGACCTGAGCCGAAGGCAGTCGCTTAACCAACTGAGCCACCCAGGCGCCCGAGCCATTCATTCTTTCAACAAATACTCATTGAACCTCCACCGTGCGTCAGGTCGCCTCCCCGGCTCTGGACACACATCAGTGACCAAGGAGACGAGCTCCCTGATCTGGTGACCCGTAAATCTACTTGGGGGCGGACGTCCATAAGAAAACAAACAAGAGGGGCGCCTGGGTGGCTCAGTCGGTTAAGCGACTGCCTTCGGCTCAGGTCATGATCCCAGGGTCCTTGGATCGAGCCCCACATCGGGCTCCCTGCTCAGCGGGAAGCTTGTTTCTCCCTCTCCCACTCCCCCTGCTTGTGTTCCCTCTCTCGCTGTCTCTCTGTCAAATAAATAATTAAAATCTTAAAAAAAAAAAAACAACAAGAAAATGATAAAAGCCCTTCAGAGAATTAAAATAGGGTGATGTGATAGTGACTGGGTGGCTTTTTATTGAACGATCAGGGATGTCCTGAGAAGGTGACATCTGAGTGGAGATCAATGACATAAAACCAACTTGTGAAAACTAGGGGAAGAGCACTGCAATTAGAGGGAACTGTGTGCCAAGGACCTGGTGGAAATGTGCTCGCCGATTTGGAAAAACGGAGAAGCCAGTAAGACAGGACAGTCGTATGCCAAGAGGTGGGAGAGGGAGGCAAGAGCCCGAGCACTTGCGGCTTTGTAAGCCAAGGTAAGGGGTTTGGAGGCAGTGCCTAGCTTCAAATCTGCTCCCTGCTAACTGACTTTCCACAAGTGAATCATCCTCTTTGTGCCCAGGTTTCCTCATGTATTACTAGAAGTGCAATGATGGGCTATCAAAGGGGAGTGTCTGTGTGACGTGATCTGATTTACATTTTTCAAAGGTCACTCTATAGCCATGGTAAAAACCTCAATTTCCCTGTTAGAAAAAAACAAGGTAATATCTATTTCAGAGAACTGACCTTCATTCATACATGAAAGCACCTGGTTCTATAGGAGGTAGGCTTGTTTCATTCCTTCACTCTCTCATTCATTGATTTCCAGCTCCCCCAGAAGCCTTCCCCTTTTCCCAAAGATCACAGTTGGTCTCTTCTCATCCTAAAAATACAGTCTGCCTTTGTCCATGCAAACTACTCTTGTTCTCCTACCTTCCACACTTGAACTTCTCGAGGAGGCCTCTACACCTGTGGTTCTCCAAGTGTAGTCCTTTTTCCAACTTCATGACCATTCTCCTGTTTTGTTTTGTTTTTTTCTGGGGCATTGTGTCATTTGGTTTCACAGATTTCTGATTGTTTCTTCTCCATCTCTCTCTCTTTTTAAACCCCATTTCATTCTCCTGCTCCCTAACGTGTGTGCTTTCTCTGGGGCTGTATTCCCAGCCTCGCTCTCTAATTGGTCACGTCTATCCATGCTGCCTGCTACTTTGTGCTGAAGTCTCTTGTCTAGCTCACCAGCAGAGACTGCTCTACGGAACTCCATTTCCCAACTGTCTGTTGCTTATTCCCACATGTCTTAATGGTCCTTGAAAGTCAGCATGTCTACAAGACAGATTTATCAAGTCCTTTCCAAATCAGCTGTTGTTCTGATTTTTTCTATTTCTGTGGTTGCTACTGCCATTTTCCAGCTACTCAAATTGGGCACCTTGAATAAACATGATAACTTTGGTCATTTCTTGATTCCCTACACCTGTCAGTCACTGAGCCCTGCAAATTCTTGGAAGAAGGGTCTCCCACCCTTCACTTGCCTTTTTATTCTGACTGCCGCCAACCCAGTTGAGATCTTTCTCTTATTTGATTCATTATAAAAACCATCTTACTGGTCTTTGTGTCTCATGATCATTTGCCAACGGATTCAAAATATAGTTATGGTCTTATCATTTACCTGCTAAGAAAACTTTTGATTCACTAGCAGAATAAAGTTCTAGTGCTGACATTGATCTGATTCCAGCTCACGTTCCATCTGGATCTCTTTCAGGTTCTCTACTCAAACCCTCCAGCCAGTGTTTCTTAAAGTGTGGTGTGGGAACAAGTTGCCTCCATGGAAGGCTTTGTTTCACGGAATCAGAAGCAGAGTTTGGAGAGCTGCACATCCAATAATGCACACTAAAATCTGAGATCCAATGTCCTCCTCTCTAGTTAGACCTAGCCACTCAGCAACTCAGACAAGCCCTCCACTCCTGCCTCTGCCTTTGTTATCCTGCTGCATCTGCCTTGGATCCTTTCTTGTTTATCTTTGGATGTTAAGTCCAATCCCTCCTTCAAAGCCTGGCTCAATTGCTGTACCTTTCTGAAGTCTTCACCAATTACCCCATTTGGGAGTGATCTCTCCCCTAACCCCTGTAACATTTTGCTTGCTGCATGTTTCCTTGTCATATGCAGATTCACCATACTTGTTTATGTTAATCTTACTTCCTCCCCTACTAGTCTCCTGGGTGCTGAGACAAAGAGAAGGCCTTAGGAGGCCCAAATGCTTCACACTACAAGACAGTTATATGAGGAACACTGGTTTTATGATTGTGGTGAGAAGGTGACAGGGATCTGAATGAAGACGGTGGCAGTGGGAATGGAAAGAAGGGCTGAATGTTAAAAACTGAAATAAGCTAATCAGACTCCCTGAAGGCTGATTAGATCTGGAGTGTGGGTGGGAAGAGGAGGAATCAATGACTAACATTTTTTTTTTTAAGATTTACTTATTGCGGCGCCCAAGTGTCTTGCAGTCAGCTCAGGTCATGATCCTGGGGTTCTGGGATCGAGCCCCATGTCGGGCTCCCTGCTCAGCGGGGAGTCTTCTTCTCCCTCTGCCTCTTTCCTCTGCTCGTGCTCTCTCTCTCTCAAATAAATGGATAAAAGATTTATTTATTTATTTGAGGGGGGGCGCACTCAGGGGGAGGGGCAGAGGGAGAGAGAGAATCTCAAGCAGACTCCCTGTTGAGCACGGAGCCCGAGGCAGGCCTCGATCCCAAGACCTTGAGATCATGACCTGAGCTGAAATCAAGAGTTGGACGCTTAACCGACTGAGCCACCCAGGAACCCCTAAAAAAATTTTTTTTTAAGTTTATTTATTTTTTTAGTAATCTCTATACCCAGCGTGGGGGCTCGAACTCACAATGCCCTGGTCAAGAGTTGCTTGCTCTTCCGACTGAGCCCACCAGGAGTCCCTTGATGATTTTAAATTTTAAATTTTAACTGGGTATCTTGAGAGATGGTGGAATGACCCTGTGGGGGCTATCTCATTTTTTGGCTACTCAGCCAATTAATCTCCTTTCCCCACAGTTGGGGAAATCTGACGTTCTATGCATTTCGGTGGCAAGTGGGGTTCTGCTTCCCACTACAGGTGATTTAAGGGCCAGATGTTGTCTCTGGTCCTCGTCAGTTATGGCGTGTGCTTGTGACCTAAGCCAGCAGGGACTGTTCAGGCCCCATCCCGGGGTCTGTGCCATCCAGGCCTCGTTGCTGGTCCTCTCCTGTGCTGCCCTGCCCTTCCTGGGCTCCCGGCCGCCCTCTCACGCTTCTCCAGTCTTCCTGACAACCGTGAGTTGCCTGAAGCCCTTTAAGTACATTCCTTCTCTAGTTAAGTAGCCAGAATTGGTTTCAGATTTTTGCAATCCAACACCTAGCCTAGTACTGGGCCCACTTGAATTGCGTTCATTTCAGGAGCTTGAATGTCTCTGTTCCCTTTAGATGAGCTGTTCTGGTTCAGTTTCTTTCTTTCTTTCTTTCTTTTTTTTTTTTTAAAGATTTTATTTATTTATTTGAGAGAGAGAGTGAGAGAGAGAAAGAGCACAAGAGGGGGGAGCGGGAGAGGGAGAAGCAGACTCCCTGCCGAGCAGGGAGCCCGATGCGGGACTCGATCCAGGGACTCCAGGATCATGACCCGAGCCGAAAGCAGTCGCTTAACCAACTGAGCCACCCAGGCACCCCTGGTTCAGTTTCTAATTGTCAGAGGGTCACAGAATCCCGAGAGGGCAATTCCCAGGTCACCTGCTCCTAGTCAGCACCCAGTGTGCAAACCCCTCGACAGTCACTTGCTCCCAGGTGTTTGAGTCCATTGTTAGGATGTTTTTGGTAACTTCTACCCATTGCGTCTAGTTCCTTTCTGTGGAAAATTGTCCTATTCTGTATTACATTTAATGATTTATTTATTTGAGAGAGAGAGAGAGACCGTGCACGCTGGAGCCGGGGGAGGGGCAGAGGGAGAAGGGAAGCAGACCCCCAGCTGAGCACGGAGCCCCACTCAGGGCTCAGTCTCAACGACCCTGAGATCATGACCTGAGCCGAAACCAAGAGTCAGATGCTCAACTGACTGAGCTACCCAGGTGCCCCTGTATTATATTTAATTTTAGAAGTTTCTTTAGCCTTTTGAAAGTAAGGTAAATGTACCAAATAAGTAAAAATGACGTTAGTGTTGGACACTGAGTTATGAGGTGATGTGGAAGATCTCAGGGAAAGTGAGCCTGCAGTCCAGGCGAGGAGGGGGTCACAGAGATTTGCGAGTCAATAGTAATCGCTGAAAATAACAGCCTCTTGGGAAGAAAGTGATGTCAACACTTTTGGGAGCTGCAGGGCACAGGAGAGCCTGTGGTCTGGGGGGCAGGGTGAGGGGGGAGATGAGAAGAGAGTGAGGAATGGGGAGAGAAGCGGGGGGTGAAACAGGGGCCATCTGGCAATTGACCTAGCCATCTTTTTAAAAGATTTATTTATTTTGAGAGAGAGAGAAAATGAGAGTGCACACAAGCCGGAGGGAGGGGTGGAGGGAGAGGGAAGAGCAGACTTCCCGCTGTGTGGAGCTCACCCTAGGGCTCAATCCCAGGTCCCTTGAATGATGGATGACCTGAGCTGAAGGCAGATGCTTAACTGACTGAGCCACCCAGGCGCTCCTGACCTGGCCATTTTGACAGACTTTGTTAAAATGGCTACAGCAACATCTGTACCATGCAGGGCAATCCTCAATCAGGAGCCACTGAGGGAGAGAGAGGAAGTGTGGTCAGAAAGTAGGATGTGAGCCACTGTGGCCAAAGGGGGAGAGAGTTTG